AGCCCATACTTCTTTAACTTGCTGGCAAGAATACTTTGGGAGACGGTGTCAAAAGCTTTGCTAAAGTCAAGGAACAACACGTCCACTGCTTTCCCCTCATCCACAGAGCCAGTTATCTCGTCATAGAAGGCAATTAGATTAGTCAGGCATGACTTGCCCTTGGTGAATCCATGCTGACTGTTCCTGATCACTTTCCTCTCCTCTGCGTGCTTCAGAAATGATTCCTTGAGGACCTGCTCCATGATTTTTCCAGGGACTGAGGTGAGGCTGACTGGCCTGTAGTTCCCCGGATCCTTCTTCCCTTTTCAAAAGATGGGCACTACGTTAGCCTTTTTCCAGTCCTCCGGGACCTCCCCCGGTGGCCATGACTTATCCGAGATAATGGCCAGTGGCTCTGCAATCACATCCGCCAACTCCTTTAGCACTCTCGGATGCAGCACATCCGGCCCCATGGACTTGTGCACGTCCAGCTTTTCTAAATAGTCCCGAACCACTTCTTTCTCCACAGAGGGCTGGCCACATACTCCCCATGCTGTGCTGCCCAGTGCAGTAGTCTGGGAGCTGACCTTGTTCGTGAAGACAGAGGCAAAAAAAGCATTGAGTACATTAGCTTTTTCCACATCCTCTGTCACTAGGTTGCCTCCCTCATTCAGTAAGGGGCCCACACTTTCCTTGGCTTTCTTCTTGTTGCCAACATACCTGAAGAAACCCTTCTTGTTACTCTTAACATCCCTTGCTAGCTGCAACTCCAGGTGTGATTTGGCCTTCCTGATTTCACTCCTGCATGCCCGAGCAATATTTTTATACTCTTCCCTGGTCATGTGTCCAATCTTCCACTTCTTGTAAGCTTCTTTTCTGTGTTTAAGATCAGCAAGGATTTCACTGTTAAGCCAAGCTGGTCGCCTGCCATATTTGCTATTCTTTCTACACATCAGGATGGTTTGTCCCTGTAATCTCAACAAGGATTCTTTAAAATACAGCCAGCTGTATTTTAAAATACAGGAAGTGGGTTTTAGCCCATGAAAGCTTAGGCCCAAATAAATCTGTTAGTCTCTAAGGTGCCACAAGGACTCCTCGTTGTTTTTCTGTGAGTGTGTGTATTCTGTGTGTCTATTGCCCAACTCATGGTGTGTGTGTATTTTCTGTGTGTGTCTATTGCACAGCTCCGTGTGTGTATCTATATGGGGGGAGGTGTATATTCTCTGTGTGTCTGTTGCACAGCTTAGGGGGCTTGTGTATGTAATCTGTGCATGTGAGAGAGAGTGTGTGTGTTCTCTGTGTGTGTCTATTGCACTCCTGGAAAGGTGTATATACACAAACCCAGGAACCAATCCCTGCAACAAAGCCCGTTGTCAAGTCTATCCACATATCTATTCAAGGGACACCATCACAGGGCCTAATCACATCAGCCACACTATCAGAGGCTCGTTCACCTGCACATCTACCCATGTGGTATATGCCATCATGTGCCAGCAACGCCCCTCTGCCATGGACATTGGCCAAACTGGACAATCTCTATGCAAAAGAATAAACGGACACAAATCAGACGTCAAGAATTATAACATTCATAAACCAGTCGGTGAACACTTCAGCCTCCCTGGTCACTCGATTACAGACCTAAAAGTGGCAATTCTTCAACAAAAGAACTTCAGAAACAGACTCCAACGAGAAACTGCAGAACTGGAATTAATTTGCAAACTGGACGCCATTAAATTAGGCTCGAATAGAGACTGGAGTGGATGGGTCATTACACAAAGTAAAAACTATTCCCCCCCTGCTAATTTTTTCCCCCGTTGTTACTCACAACTTCTTGTCAAATGTTTGACATGGGCCACCCTGATTATCACCACAAAAGGTTTATTTTTCTCCTGCTGATAATAGTCCACCTTAATTGATGAGTCTCATTACAGTGGATATGGCAACCCCCATTGTTTCATGTTCTCGGTGTGTATATATCTTCCTACTGTATTTTCACTCCATGCATCCGAGGAAGTGGGCATTAGCCCACGAAAGCTTATGCCCAAATAAATGTGTTAGTCGGGTGCCACAAGGACGCCTCGTTTTTTTTGCCGATACAGACTAACACGGGTACCACTCTGAAACCTCTGTGTGTGTGTGTTGTGTGTATTCTTGATGCGTGTTTATTGCACAGCTGGAGGGGTGTATACACACTCTGTGTGTGTGTGTGTGTGTGTGTGTTCTCTGTGTCTGTATTGCACAGCTGGGGGGGGTGTACTCTCTGTGTCTATTCCGTGTGAGTAACACTAAGAATACACAAACACAGATATCTATTGCACAGCTGGGGTGTGTATACAGTGTGTGTGTGTATTCTTAGTGTGTGTTTATTGCACAGACGGGGTGTGTATATACACTGTGTTTGTGTGTGTGCTGCACAGCTGTGAAGTGTATACACAGTGCGTGTGTGTGTTTGTGTGTTGCACAGCTGGGGTGTGTGTATACACTGTGTGTGTGTTGCACAGGTGGGGGAATGTATACACAGTGTGTGTGTTTGTGTGTGTGTGTTGCACAGCTGGGGGTGTATACACTCTGTGTGTTTGTGTGTTGCACAGCTGTGGTGTGTGTATACAGTGTGTGTGTGTTGCACAGCTGGGGGTGTATACGATGTGTGTGTGTTTGTGTGTTGCACAGCTGGGGTGTGTGTATACGCTCTGTGTGTGTGTTTGTGTGTGTGTGTTGCACAGCTGGGGGTGATATACCCTGTGTGTGTGTTGCACAGTGTGTGTGTGTTTGTGTGTTTGTGTGTTGCACAGCTGGGGTGTGTGTATACACTGTGTGTGCGTGTGTTTGTGTGTTGCACAGCTGGGGTGTGTGTATACACTGTGTGTGTGTTTGTGTGTTGCACAGGTGGGGTGTATACACAGTGTGTGTGTGTGTGTTGCACAGCTGGGGTGTGTGTATACACTGTGTGTGTGTGTTTGTGTGTTGCACAGCCGGGGGAGTGTATACACAGTGTGTGTGTGTGTGTTTGTGTGTTGCACAGCTGGGGTGTATACACACTGTGTGTGTGTGTTTGTGTGTTGCACAGCTGGGGGTATATACACAGTGTGTGTGTGTTTGTGTGTTGCACAGCTGGGGGAGTGTATACACAGTATGTGTGTGTGTTTGTGTGTTGCACAGCTGGGGTGTGTGTATACACTGTGTGTTTGTGTGTTGCACAGCTGGGGTGTATACACAGTGTGTGTGTGTGTTGCACAGCTGGGGTGTGTGTATACACTGTGTGTGTGTTTGTGTGTTGCACAGCCGGGGGGAGTGTATACACTGTGTGTGTGTGTGTGTTTGTGTGTTGCACAGCTGGGGTGTATACACAATGTGTGCGTGTTTGTGTGTTGCACAGCTGGGGGTGTATACACAGTGTGTGTGTGTTTGTGTGTTGCACAGCTGGGGGAGTGTACACACAGTGTGTGTGTGTGTGTTTGTGTGTTGCACAGCTGGGGTGTGTGTATACACTGTGTGTGTGTGTTTGTGTGTTGCACAGCTGGGGGGTGTATACACAGTGTGTGTGTGTGTGTGTTTGTGTGTTGCACAGCTGGGGGTGTATACACAGTGTGTGTGTGTTTGTGTGTTGCACAGCCGGGGGAGTGTATACACAGTGTGTGTGTGTGTGTGTTTGTGTGTTGCACAGCTGGGGTGTGTGTATACACTGTGTGTGTGTTTGTGTGTTGCACAGCCGGGGGAGTGTATACACAGTGTGTGTGTGTGCTTGTGTGTTGCACAGCCGGGGGAGTGTATACACGGTGTGTGTGTGTTTGTGTGTTGCACAGCCGGGGGAGTGTATACACAGTGTGTGTGTGTGTTTGTGTGTTGCACAGCCGGGGGAGTGTATACACGGTGTGTGTGTGTGTTTGTGTGTTGCACAGCCGGGGTGTGTGTATACACGGTGTGTGTGTGTTTGTGTGTTGCACAGCCGGGGGAGTGTATACACAGTGTGTGTTTGTGTGTTGCACAGCCGGGGTGTGTGTATACACGGTGTGTGTGTGTGTTTGTGTGTTGCACAGCCGGGGTGTGTGTATACACGGTGTGTGTGTGTGTTTGTGTGTTGCACAGCCGGGGGAGTGTATACACAGTGTGTGTGTGTGTTTTGTGTGTTGCACAGCCGGGGGAGTGTATACACGGTGTGTGTGTGTGTGTTTGTGTGTTGCACAGCCGGGGAGTGTATACACGGTGTGTGTGTGTTTGTGTGTTGCACAGCCGGGGGAGTGTATACACGGTGTGTGTGTGTGTGTTTGTGTGTTGCACAGCCGGGGGAGTGTATACACAGTGTGTGTTTGTGTGTTGCACAGTCGGGGTGTGTGTATACACGGTGTGTGTGTGTGTTTGTGTGTTGCACAGCTGGGGTGTGTGTATACACACTGTGTGTGTGTGTTTGTGTGTTGCACAGCCGGGGGAGTGTATACACGGTGTGTGTGTGTGTGTGTTTTGCACAGCCGGGGAGTGTTTAGTATAACGGTGTGTGTTTTAAGGTGTGTGTGTTTGTGTGTTGCACAGCCGGGGGTGTGTATACACGGGGTGTGTGTGTGTGTTTGTGTGTTGCACAGCCGGGGGAGTGTATACACAGTGTGTGTTTGTGTGTTGCACAGTCGGGGTGTGTGTATACACGGTGTGTGTGTGTGTTTGTGTGTTGCACAGCCGGGGTGTGTGTATACACGGTGTGTGTGTGTGTTTGTGTGTTGCACAGCCGCGGGAGTGTATACACGGTGTGTGTTTGTGTGTTGCACAACGGTGGGGTTGCACACCCCGTGTGTACTTGCAGATTTCCTGCATTCCTTATTTCTTGCCCTGCCCCCCCCGAGCCCCGCCCGCTACGTGTCATCCCCGCCCGGGCTCCGGGCAAGCACCGCGCGCCGGCCCGGGATTTCCCCGCGGTGATTGCAGGCTGAGCTGTCACCCCCGGGCGCAGCCAATGGGGCGCCAGGGGCGGGGCTCGCCCCATTCATAAAGCGGCGCCGGGCGGGGCGCGGGCAGTTGTTCGTTCTGCGCCGCAGCCGAGGACGAGTTCTGAAAATCGCGCTGCGCCCCGGTCTCATGAACGCGCTGTACGGTGCCACGAGCATGTGCTTAGCCTACGAGCCCCGGATGGCCGCCCTGCCCAGAGCCGAGCCCCCCCGCAGGGGCACCGGCCCCCAGTACTTCACCTTCGACCCCCTGCCCGCGGTGAGCCAGACCCCTTCCCGCAGGAATCCGGCCCGGGGCAGGAAACGACTGCGCAAAGTGCTCTACCCCCCCGTGGTGAGTCTGTGGGGGTGGGGTAGAAGCCGGGACGCCTGGGTTCTCTGGGGGGGGCGAGGGGGGAGTCAGGACCCCTGGGTTCTCTGCGATGTGGGGAGGGGTCTTTTGGGTTAAAGTGGGGGGAGGGGGATCGAGGAGTGAGGGCCCACCTTCTGATCCAGCCCCCCTCTGTGCCTCAGTTTCCCCCGCTGTAGAAGTAGGCTACTGATGGCTCTCTGGGTCAGTCCCTGCTGCTGGAGGGAGGGTGAGGGTGGTGTAGCCTCTCCCCAGTGGAGGGGGGGGGAAGCTGAGACCTGTAGCCCGGCCCCCCTTGCTGTGGGCATACAGACAGTGCAGGATGAGTCACCCCATTACACCTGCTGCTGCGTGTCCTGGACAGGAAGCCCCATGCACAGGTCTCTCTGCCCCAGAGATCCCTGGCTGATGGGGGTGCTGCATGTGTCCCAGGCTCCCTGCTGTTCACAGCCAGGGGTGAGTCTCTTGCTAATCTGCCCCCAGCTGGGAGCAGTATGGGCCATATGACACACGGGGGGGGGGATATCTAGATCATGCTCAGTGCAGTGGGGTTCAAGTTGCCTGGCTCAGCTGCTGAGCCCGAATCTCAAGTTGGTTTGGTGGAATAGGGCATTGTGGGTAGAAACAGAGAATTCTGGGTAACCAAGCTGTCCTCTCAGCCATGGTGGCTGGGTGTGCCTCCTGGGTTGTGGGATTGGCCTGGGGCTGAGTGCCAGGGCATTCTGGGTAATCTGTTGGGCACAGGGCACTTGGAGTAGGACTGGTGCATTGTGGGTAATACATGGGTCCCCCTGCCAGCCAGGTCTCTAATGTCCTGTCTCCTTCCTCCTGACCAGGTGAAACGCTACTATCCGGCCAAAGAGCGCAGCCAGGCCAAGCGTCTGCTTTTCATCCTCCTCACCATCGTCTTCTACCAAGTCTATAATGCTGACGAAGACCTGGCCCTGGGGCCTGAGCAGGGGGTCCGTGACTGCTCTGCGGAGAGCGGGAGCTCCCGTGTGGAGACCCCCCTCTCGGAAATGCTCCCGACACCCCTGGAGGTCCCAGAGATGGCCAATGCTACCAGTTTGCACGGGGGCCATGCGGCTGTTGAATCCACCGTGGAAATCAGCCAGTTCCTGGAGCAGAATCCAGCTGCTTTCTGAGATTCCCCACCCAGCGTTTCTCAGGCCAAGACACCTAAGGGGTCAACTGGGCTGGGCTCCAGCCACTCATGGGTTAACCCCGCCTGGTCTTCGGCCAGCTCTTTCTGCTGCTGTCTCTGAACGAAGCCAGTGAAGAATCTGGACGCCGCCGGACACTTGACGTCAATAGCAACGTGAAACCTCTCCGCAGCTGTGAGCAGGGAATTCCTGGCTCCAGCCATGACTGAGACATTGTGTGGCGGGGAGGGGTATTACTGACATAACTTATTAATATCTAATATTTATATTATTTATACATTTGTAATTTAAAGATAGTGTGCTATTTAATGATCGAAGCCGGAACATGCTGGCGAGGAAAACGCTGCTTTCATCCAGGATGGAATAAAACCGTTAAATGTCCTCATCCGTTTAAACAGGGACATGTATCTTGCTCTTGTTCCTCTACGGGGACTTTTAATTGATGTTTGTTAGTGCCGTTACCCCGGGAGGAGAAACCCCGCTCTAATGGGTAGCAAAGCAGCCGGAGGGATAGCTGGCTGCAAATCCCAGGGAGGTATAAAACTGGAAATGCTACTGGGCGGGGTAAAAAACTTTGATGGCCAAATGTGCTAGAATTCAACGCTACAGTTCTCCAGGCGGAGGCCGGGCTGGGTTGCTCTGTGGCAAAACAGCCTCTGACCCTTGGGTCTCCCTTAAAGTAGCTACTTAATAGGGGCACAGAACGAAGACAGCACTGGTGCATTGGGCGGAGGGAGAAGTTTGGAGCCCGAAAAATGATTCGGGTGCTTTAAACCAGGAGCAAACAGGGATTTTCCTGACCCTGGGAGGAGGAGAGAAGTCACGGGAAGAACACCCCGCGCTAAAGAGAGCGCGGACCCCTCCGCCCTTCCCTCTCGGACCCCCCCAGCTATGTTTACGCCCGGGGTGTCTGACCAGCAGGGTCCTGGTTGCTGTCTATGCTTACTGTGTAAGCTCCTGTGGATGCTTCGGAGGCCAAGACTCGCCCCGAACTGCCCTGACTTCAGGCTGATGTTTCCAAGGCGTTTTTGCCCCAAACTCTTTCCCGGACAAGTCGTCCAACCTGTGTATGTTCTGTGAACAAAATAAACATGTTGACTCCTGCGAGTGTGTCTGATTTCTGGGGGGCAGGGGCATCCCACATCCTTTGGGGGAGGGGGTCGGCGTTAGGGGCTGGCTGGGCTGAAGGCAAAACTCAGCTCCCCTGGAGGAGCGCGAGGGTGTCAGGCCGCTGGAGGAAGGAGGAGATTGTGCTGGGAGGGGGCAAAGCTCAATTCAACTACAGGAGCATCCAAGGGGGGAGCAGGGGGTGGCCTTCATGTTCCAAGCCCCATCCACTTTCTGCATTACATCAGCTGGATACGTTCTCATTGGCTGATGGTGGATCATGGGCGCGGGACCTTGGGAGAACTCTTCAGAGAGGCTAGCCCATCTCATAAAGGTGGGGTGCAGCCCCAGCCCTGGGAGGGAAGAGGGGTCCAGTGAATTAGAACAGGGGGTGCTGGGAGTCAGGACACCTGGGTTATCATCCTCAGCTGAATAGTAGGGTTATCTATTCTCCTCCCCCAATCCACAAGGCTTGTTACCTTTGACAGAGTAACAAGCCTTGCGGGTGGGGGGGAAGTGGTTGACATGATCTAGCTTGATTTCAGTAAAGCCTGTGACACTCACATGACCACCTCATACACAAATTAGGGAAATGCAACCTGGATGGATGTGGGTGCAGACCTGGTGGGAAAACAACTCCTCTCTGGGAGCGACCGGTGGGTCGCAGTCAAGCTGGAAGGACATAGCGAGAGGGGTCCCCCAGGGATCCCTTCTGGGCCCGGTTTTGTTTAATATCTTCCATCAACGATTTAGATAATGGCATAGAGAGTACGCATAAAGTTTGCGGACAATACCAAGCTGGGAGGGGTTGCAAGTGCTTTGGAGGATAGGATGAAAATTCGAAATGGTCTGAAGTAAATAGGATGAAATTCAATAAGGAGAAATGCAAAGCACCCACTTAGGAAGGAACAATCAGTTGCACACACACAGAGAATGGGAAATGACTGCCGAAGGAGAACTGCGGAAACGGATCTGGGGGTCAGAGTGGACCACAAGCTAAATATGAGTCAATAGTGTAACGCTGTTGCCAAATATATTAGCAGAAGTGTTGTAACCAGGAAATTAGAAGTAATTTTTCCGCTTTGCACTGATTAGGCCTCAACGGGAGGATTGTGTCCTGTTCTGGGCACCACATTTCAGGAAAGATGTGGACAAATTGGAGAGAGTCCAGAGAAGAGCAGCAACAACGATTAAAGGTCTAAGAAAACATGGCCTAGGAGGGAAGATTGAAAAAATGGGGTTTGTTTAGGCTGGAAAAGAGAAGACCGAGGGGGGACATGAGAACAGTTTTCAAGTATGTAAAAAGTTATAAAGAGGAAGGTGATAAATTGTTCTCCTTAACCTCTGAGGCTAGGACAAGAAGCAATGGGCTCAAATTGCAGAAAGGGCGGTTTAGGTTGGACATTAGGAAAAACTTCCTAACTGTCAGGGTGGTTAAACTCTGGAACAAATTGCCCAGGGAGGTTGTGGAATATGTGCTGATGGAGATTTTTAAGAGCAGATCAGAGAAACACCTCTTAGGGACGGTCGAGATAATACTTAATCCTGCCTTGAGTGCAGGGGACTGGACTGGATAACCTCTCGAGGTCCCTTCCAGTCCAATGCTGCTATAACCCATCTAACTACAGTTTACATATAATTCTCTGGAGGTTTTCATTCTTCCTGGGTTTTTAATCATTAACCGTGATTTGACATGATTTAAAAATCAATAAAATCACCAGTTTAATGATACTTCCTGGTGTCCCGGGACTCTAAGCCGTCCCGGCGTGTCTCCGAGAGGGTCTGGGAATCAGGGACTCTGTTGCACTGGACTCGACAGGGGTGTGTGTGTATCTGCCAACCAGCCTTTCTCAGCCCCGTCCCGCCATCCTTAGCTCCAGCAAATCGCTCCTCTTGAGGGATCCATAGATCCGGTCTGTCTAATCTAGATACGTATCCACCCGCCCCCAGCCGGATTGTTATCCATCTCTTTCTCCTCTGGGGTATTTTTAGCACCAAGCTCCCAGACAGCGAGGGCCGGAGAGGCTGGGCGAGCCACGCCTGGCGCCCTTGGCCACACGGATAAGCCCAGGGGCAATGACTGATAAGGGGCTATTCCAGGCTCTCTGCGGGGGCAGAGGAACTGCGGGTTCCCGCCGGTACCTATCTGGGCCACGAGGGGAGGGTTATATATAGCGAGCACCCACGTACAGATAGCGTGTGCGGCAACGGACACTCAGCCCAGGGTGGCCTCAGCAGGACACCTGGGTTCTCTCCCCGGCTCTGGGAGGGGAGTGGGGTCTAGTGGTTAGAGCAGGGGTGGGGGCTGGGAGCCAGGACTCCTGGGTTCTCTCCCCGGCTCTGGGAGGGGAGTGGGGTCTAGTGGTTAGAGCAGGGGTGGGGGCTGGGAGCCAGGACTCCTGGGTTCTCTCCCCAGCTCTGGGAGGGGAGTGGGGTCTAGTGGTTAGAGCAGGGGGGCTGAGAGCCAGGACTCCTGGGTTCTCTCCCTGGCTCTGGGGAGGGGTGGGGTGGGGTCTAGTGGTTAGACTGAGCAAGGGCAGCTCTGTGTGTGTTTTCATGGTCCAGCCTGGCTGGTGTGTGAGTCTGTGCACACATGCTGGGTCACACACACAACCCTCCGCTCTGCAGCTGAGAAAACACATGACGGAAAGCGCTGCCAGGGGCCCTGGGCTCAGGTTGAGGCCGGGAATTGCCCAAGCTCGTGGCTTCCGGGCTCTGCCTATCTGCACGGCTGCATTTCCTCATACCCCAGAGGTGAGAACCACACGCACACGAAAGGAAGCGGCAGAGCCCACATCCGCCCCCCACCCAGCACAGAGAGCCCAGGGCCTAAATATAAAGAGCCACGGGGGGACAGAGGAGTGGAAATACCAGCACTAGAAATACACAACTCTTCCCCCACCCCTCACACACACACACACCCTGCCCCTAACACACTCACTAGGCCAAGTCTGACTTGGGGACAGGGAATGGAGTACAGGGCCTGTCCTCTCTAGGGGGCAGCAGCTCCCATCCGGCCCCAGGGCGGGGGCTGGCCGGCTCAAGGGGGCAGGGAATGGGGCATGGGGCCTGTCCCCGCTGGGGGGCAGCGGCTCTGATCATTCCAATGATTCCGGCTCCCTCCCAGCCGAGAACCTCTGTGTGTAACGAGTTTGCTGGCTCTCTGCCCACATTACCAGTGCCCCCTCCCCTGCCCCCCGCGCCCCCAGGCATTAACTGACCCCTGGCCAGCAGCCCCGGCAGAGTGGGTGGGGGTCGAACATGCCACCGACAGCGAGTGCCCCCTATCTGGCATCGGTGCGGGCATGAGAAGGGCTGGCTCGTGGGGGGGGGGGCTCTCTGCCACTCACGGCATGTTCTGCCCCTATTCTGGGGGGGGACACAGAGGCCTGGGGGGGGCGTTATGGGCTGGGCACCCCCCCACACACACACTGAAAGGAGTCCATTTTCTCCCCCATGTTCACACGATGCCCCGCCCGCTCCGGCGCTGGACGATTGGCCAGGCGCGCCACCTGGTGGCCACCCGGTGACCTGCCGGCCCTGGGCGCTGCGTGGCAGGGAACAGGGGAGCCAGCCAGGGGCTCCCATGCAGCCACCTCTGGGTGGGGACAGGGCGGCCCGTTCGCAGGTGCCGCGCCCCCGAGTTTGGGACAGGAAGTGAGGCAGACGCTGCTCTGGGTCCTCCTGGAAGGGCAGGAGAACGGGATGGGGGCTTCGGCCAACACAGCAGGGTCGACTCACGAAATCCTGGTCCCCCCAAGCCCTGCCGGTGCCCCTCACTCCCGACCCGCAGCCCCCCGCCAGCCCGGCTCTGCCCCCCCCCAGCCCTGCCGGTGCCCCTCACTCCCGACCCGCAGCCCCCTGCCAGCCCGGCTCTGCCCCCCCCCCGCCCTGCCGGTGCCCCTCACTCCCGACCCGCTGCCCCCTGCCAGCCCTGCCCTGGGCCCCCCCAGCCCTGCCGGTGCCCCTCACTCCTGACCCGCAGCCCCCTGCCAGCCCGGCTCTGCCCCCCCAGCCCTGCCGGTGCCCCTCACTCCCGACCCGCAGCCCCCTGCCAGCCCGGCTCTGCCCCCCCCGCCCTGCCGGTGCCCCTCACTCCCGACCCGCAGCCCCCTGCCAGCCCGGCTCTGCCCCCCCAGCCCTGCCGGTGCCCCTCACTCCCGACCCGCAGCCCCCTGCCAGCCCTGCCCTGGCCCCCGCCCCCCCGCGGCCGCATGGATCTGGGGGGCTGGCAGGGGGGGTCCCAGGGAAGCTGCTGCCCCGCCCGCGGCCAGCAGGTGGCAGCACCGCCCGGGCGCTGGGGAAACCGCGGGGCCTGACGGGATCGTGGCGGTCCCAGGAGGGTGGGGCGGGTCTGCAGCAGGGCGGACGGGGGGTGGCCGGAGCCAGAGACCCGGTCAGCAAAGGGGGGTCGGGGGGGGAGCCCGGGCCGAGAGGGGGGTCGGGGGGGCTGCACGGGGGGAGCCCGGGCCGAGAAGGGGGTCGGGGGGGGCTGCACGGGCCGAGAAGGGGGTCGGGGGGGAGCCCGGGCCGAGAAGGGGGTCGGGGGGGCTGCACGGGCCGAGAAGGGGGTCGGGGGGGCTGCACGGGGGGAGCCCGGGCCGAGAAGGGGGTCGGGGGGGGAGCCCGGGCCGAGAGGGGGGTCGGGGGGGCTGCACGGGCCGAGAAAGGGGTCGGGGGGGCTGCACGGGGAGGAGCCCGGGCCGAGAGGGGGTCGGGGGCGGAGGGGGTCGGGGGGAGCCCGGGCCGAGAAGGGGGTCGGGGGGGTGCATTGGCTGCAGAGTGTGGACGGGGTTCATGGGTGGTGATGGGGGGTGTCTGGGTGGGGCCAGGGGTGCCGGCTGCCAATGCAGGGGCTGTTTGGGGGGCAGGATGAAGTGGGGCTCCTGGCCGGGGATCGGGGAGCCCAAGGGCGGGCTGCAGGGGGCGTATGGGCAGCGGGGAGCACGGGCTGAGGTTGGGGTGCAGGGGCTGCATCGGTTATGAGTGGGGGCAACCAGCAGCGGCTCTGTGGGGCTCAGGTGGCAGGCGGGTGGGGAGCTCCCTGGGGCTCAGCTGGAGTCTGGCCAGGGGCGGGTCTGTAATTATCAGCCATGGCCTGCAGGGAGAGGGGAAAATACCCAGGACTCCTGGGTTCTCTCCCTGGCTCTGGGAGGGGGGTGGGGTCTAGTGATTAGAGTGGGGGGGGGGGCGCTGGGAGCCAGGACTCCTGGGTTCCCTCCCTGGCTCTGGGAGGGGGGTGGGGGGGGTCTAGTGATTAGAGCAGGGGGGCTGGGAGCCAGGACTCCTGGGTTCGATTGAGTTGCTCTCATCTCTTTCAGGATCCCTCCAGCATCAGGATGTTCTTCACTTGCGGCCCCAATGAGGCCATGGTGGTCTCGGGTGAGTGGCTCTCCCCCGCTGGTCTCACGTGGGCAGAGACGCTCCCAGGGTGGGAGCCTGATGCCGTCCCCTCCCCCTCCAGGGACCCCTAACACCCCAGCCCCACCCCCACATTGCTGGGGCAGCCCGGCTGAGACCTGGGCCTAATGCCACAAGCTCGTTAGGGGCCTGATCCCCAGGAGAAACCCGAACCAGGGACTGGAGTTGGAGCCCCGCACAGTGGGAGAGCTCCCCACACGCAGCCCCCCACTGATGGGACTCACCCGCCCCACGGGGAAAGGCCCCGGCCCCCTGAGCCAGCCTGAAATACCCAGCAGTGAAGAGATGGGATCTGAGCCAGAGTGACATCACCTGCTCCCAGGGGATGGGGAGCGGGGCTAATCTGATGGTTAACGAATGCATCACTAATGACCACTGGGGAGGAGCAGGGTGGGGGCGGGGGAGGAGCAGGGGGCGCTGGGCTGCAGGGAGCAGGGCGGGGGCTCAGTAGGGGGTGCGGGGGTGGGGGGGGGCTCTGGGGGTGGGGGGGGGCTCAGCAGGGGGCCTGGGCTGGGCTGGGGGCAGGGGGCTCAGCAGGGGCGGGGGGGGTGCGGGGGGCGGGCGGGGGGCTCAGCAGGGGGCACTGGGCTGCAGGGGGCTCAGCAGGGGCCCTGGGGGGGTGGGGGTGGGGGGCTCAGCAAGCGGTGCTGGGCTGCGGGGAGCAGGGCGGGGGCTCAGCAGGGGGCGCTGGGGAGTGGGGGGCGGGGGGGCTCAGCAGGGGGCGCTGGGCTGCGGGGAGCAGGGCGGGGGCTCAGCAGGGAGTGCGGGGAGTGGGGTGGGGGGCTCAGCAGGGGGCGCTGGGGAGTGGGGGGGCGGGGGCTCAGCAGGGGGCACCATGCTGTGGGAGCAGGGCGGGGGCTTGGCCGGGGCAGCTGTCCTCTGCTACAATTTTACCGGCAAGACTTAAAATCAGTCTGTCGCTGTGAAGTCGTGTGGCGACCCCAGTGTCCCAACTGAGCTCACTTCCTGCCTCCTTAAAATTTCCCCGGTGGTTTCAAATTGTTCAGGATTCACGGCATGTTCCCCAGCCGCCCACCCCAGAGCTGGCTGCATCTCAACAGCAGGCCAGCCTGTCCTGTGCCGCGTGGCTGTTCCACGCAGCAGTTTCCCGGCTGTCCCACCCCAGAGGCGGCTGCATATCCGTGCCCAGCGGCGGCTAACGCTCTCCTCTCCTCCCCTCCCCTCCCCCTAGGCTTCTGCCGCAGCCCCCCAGTGATGGTGGCGGGGGGCCGGGTCTTCGTCCTCCCCTGCATCCAGCAGATCCAGAGGTGAGTCCCCAAAGCCCCCCCTCCACAGAGAACCCTAGGTCAGGGCGCCCTGGCTCGTCCCTGGGCTCCCCAAGTCTGTAGGGGACCCCCCTGTCACCCCGCTGGGGCAGGGGACGGGGAGGGGTCAGAGCTGGGGCAGGGGGCAGGAAGGGATCAGTGTGTGGGGGGGAATACTGGGCTGGATGGGTCCATGGGTGGGGGGTATCGTCAAAGGGCTTGGGGGGTGTCCCCTCTCCCTGACCCACCTGCTCTCCCCGCAGGATCTCCTTGAATACGCTGACCCTGAACGTGAAGAGCGAGAAGGTTTATACCCGGCACGGGGTCCCCATCTCCGTCACCGGCATCGCCCAGGTAACCGGCGCCCCCTGACTCCGAGGTCGCCGCGGAAACCCCAGGGAGGAGGGAACAGCGTCCGGATCACCTAGGAAACCAGCCAGCTACCCCGGTCTCCCCAGTGGTACCTGCCACTGGCAGCACTCACCCCTGTATTTCCCCAGTGGTACCTGCCCAGTCTGGCTCATCCCCCCATTTCTCCCAATGGTACCTGCCCAGCTTGGCTCCCCCCCCCACCCGCCCGTGGTACTTGCCCAAGCTGACTTGTTACCCCTCCTCCCCCCACCCATTTCCCCATTGGTACCTGCCCAGTGATGCCCTGGGACCACAGGGCCCTTGACCACCATGGATACGGTCTCCGGGCAACGGTTGTCTGGGTGCAAGCAATAGCCTCTTCTCTTAAAGGGGAAGGCGCCCCGCCCCCAGAGCATTCCTGGGGTTCGCAGGGAGGGGTGTCGCGGGGGCCGGGGGCTCCATCCCTCCCTCCGCTTGTCCCCTCGCTCCGGCAGGTGAAGATCCAGGGCCAGAACAAGGAGATGCTGGCGGCCGCCTGCCAGATGTTCCTCGGCAAGTCGGAGAGCGAGATCACCCACATTGCGCTGGAGACGCTGGAGGGGCATCAGCGGGCCATCATGGCCCACATGACTGTGGAGGTGAGGGGCCGGCGGCTCGGGGGGGTGGGGGCAGCCCCCTGCTGGGGGTCAGATCTGCCCCCCCACCCCCCATGTGTATGTCCCAGCTCCACCCCCGCCCCAACTCACCCCTTGTCTCCCCGCCCCGGGCAGGAAATCTATAAGGATCGGAAGAAGTTCTCGGAGCAGGTTTTCAAGGTGGCCTCCTCAGACCTGGTCAACATGGGCATCAGCGTGGTGAGCTACACGCTCAAGGACATTCACGACGACCAGGTGAGGGAGAACGGCGCCCCCTCCAGGGGAAAGGCCCCGTTCCCAGCCCGGAGCCAGCCAGCCCCCCACCCTGCCCCAGGGCGGATGGGAGCCGGCACCCCCTAGAGGGGAATGGCCTCCAGCCAGGCTGCGGGGCAGGACTGAGGTGTCTGTCTCTGCTCCTTTCTCCCCCCTTCCCCGCCCCCGGTGTTGCCCCAGGATTATCTGCACTCGCTGGGGAAAGCCAGGACCGCCCAGGTGCAGAAAGACGCGCGAATGGGGGAAGCCGAGGCCAAGAGAGATGCTGGCATCAAGGTGAGCGCTGGGTGCATGGGTCTGATCCAGGGGTGGGGGATTCCAGGCTGACTGGGTCCGATCTAGGGGTGGGGGGCATGGGCCGGCCAGCCCGTGGCTGCGACCCGGGGGTGGGGGGCATGGGCCAGCCAGCCCTTGGGTCAGACAGGGCAGGGGAACCAGCCGGCCCGTGGCTCTGTTAGGAGGCGGGTTACTATGGGTCTGACCCCCACACCTGCAGGAGGCTGAGGCGAAGCAGGAGAAGCTCTCTGCCCAGTACTTGAGCGAGATCGAGATGGCCAAGGCACAGCGGGACTACGAGCTGAAGAAAGCCACCTACGACATCGAGGTGAACACCCGCAAGGCCGAGTCCGACCTGGCCTATCAGCTGCAGGTGAGACGCCCCTGGGGACGGGGGTAGGGGGATCCGGGACCCCCTCCCCGATACCAGCCCACGGCCCAGGTGTCTGGGCACCATGGGACACCGTAGCCCAGCAGGGCAAACACCTTGTTGTGATGGCCAACCCACAGCTGTTGACCTTTGACCCCTGCAACTTGACTCTGGACAGCCTGGTAGGTTGACCCTCTTGGCCTCCTTCCCTGCCCGATGACTCCACCCTCTGCTCTTGGCGTCCCCCCTAGGGGGGGCTGCAGGCCGGGATGGGACCCAGGCGTCCAGGCCGGCAGCACGGGGCATCTCTGGCCTCACACGTCTTCGCCACCCAGCGGCGTCAACCACGATCCGTCCAGTGGCACCGGTTCTGGACCTGTGACCCCTTTGTCCAGGCTGACCCCTCCCCCACTTCGCTGACGTCAGCTGTTGACCCTTGACACCCCCCGCCCCCGTGGCCAAGTTGACCCTGTCTCTACCTCTGCGTGGTGTTGACTTTTCATCCGTCGTTGGGGTCGGTTCTTGACTTATCAACCTCCCAGTGTTGACCACAGACTGCCCCCAACATTGACCTTTGACCCGCCTCAGTGGGGTCTGCCCTTGACTCCCCACGGTGGTGTCCCTCCATCCCTCAGTGTTGCCGGGTCTTGACCATTCACCCCTTGAATCCTCTCAACGGGGGTCAAATCTTGACCTACGAATGCCAGCGGGGTTGACCCATGACCCCCCTCGACATTGACCTCTGACCTCCCTGGGGGCGTCGGTTTGGCACGAACCCCGGGTGTCCGAGGTGGCGATGCCCATCAGCGCAGCCGACGTTCGACCCCTCGCGCCATGGTATCAGCTCCTGCTGACCCCCCCGGCCCCCCCGGTGGTGACCCCGGCCCCCTCCCCGTGCAGGTGGCCAAGACCAAGCAGAAGATTGAGGAGCAGAAGATGCAGGTCCTGGTGGTGGAGCGGACCCAGCAGATCCAGCTGCAGGAGCAGGAAATCATCCGCAAGGAGCACGAGCTGGAGGCCATGGTCAAGAAGCCGGCCGAGGCCGAGCGCTACCGGCTGGAGAAGCTGGCAGAGGCCCAGAGGTAGCGGGCCCCCCCCCCCCAGCTCCCCTCTCCCCACGCCGCCCTCCAGCCACCCCCGAGACGCAGCTGGGCCGAGCGCCTCTGGCCTGGGCACCGCCCCGCGATCCCTTCCCAGCCGGGGCCGCAGCTGCGCCCCGGGGCTCCCTGCCAGCCTCAGCCTGCCTCCCCGCGCACGGTGCCCCGCCTCTAATCCCCCCCTCCGCCCCCATCCAGTGCCCCACACAGCAAGCCTCATCCACCGCTCCTTCCCCGAGCGCCCTGCTCACCCCTCGGCACCCTCCTTACCTGCTCCCTGCCCCCAACACCGCTGCTGCAAGCTCCCCACCTCTCCGCCCAGCATTCCCCCCCCCACCCCGCCGCTCGGGAGTCACTGACGCTCCCCCTCCCTTCTCCCCTCCCCAGGTGCCAGCTCATCATGCAGGCGGAGGCTGAAGCAGAGTCCCTGAGGGTGAGTCTGCCGCTCGCCCCTGCCAGCCTTGCGATGGGGATGGGACCCAGGCGTCCGGGACCCTAAATAACCCTAGGGGGATATGGGACTGGGAACCACCCTAGGGGTAGGGATGGGATCACGGGCTCTCTAGGGGTTATGGGATGGGAAGCCACCCTAGGGGTATGGGAACGACCCCTAGGGTAGTATGGGACAGCGGGACGGCAGCGCGGGCTCTCACCCCTAGGGGGGCTGCAGGCCGGGATGGGACCTAGGCGTCCAGGCCGGCAGCGCGGGGCTCTTACCCCTAGGGGGGTTGCAGGCTGGGATGGGACCCAGGCGTCCGGGACAGCAGCACGGGGCTCTCACCCCTAGGGGGGCTGGAGGGAAGGATGGGACCCAGGCGTCCAGGACAGCAGCGCGGGGCTCTCACCCCTAGGGGGTGGAGGCATGGACATCGCCCCAGGGGCTGGAGGGATGGAAATGAGGGCTCTCACCCCTAGGGGGGGCTGGAGGCCGGGATGGGACTGAGGCGTCCAGGCCGGCAGTGCGGGGCTCTCACCCCTAGGGGGTGAATACCCAACCTAGGAAACCCCTAGAAACAGTACTAGGTTAGAAAGTCACCTGGGGTAGGCATGGGATAGGCATCACACCTCTCCCTAGGGGGTTATGTGGGAGCTCCGGGAAAAGGGCTCTACCCCTAGGGGGCTGGAGGGAAGGATGGGACCCAGGCGTCCAGGACAGCAGCGTGGGGCTCTCACCCCTAGGGGGGGCTGGAGGCCGGGATGGGACTGAGGTCACCCCCCTAGGGGGTGAGGGGCTCGGGGGGCCCCCCTGGGGGGGGGGATGTCAGCTGGGCACCCCTGGGGGGGTCGGTCACCCTAGGGGGGGCTGGAGGCCAGGATGGGACTGAGGCGTCCAGGCCGGCAGCGTGGGGCTCTCACCCCAAGGGGGGGCTGGAGGCTGGGACCCAGGCGTCCGGGCCGACAGTGATGGGCGGGGATGCTATCCGCCCCCGGTGCTGACCATGCCCCCCCTCCTGCAGGTGAAGGGGGAGGCGCAGGCCTTCGCCATTGAGGCCAAGGCGCGGGCGGACGCCGAGCAGATGTCCAAGAAGGCGGAGGCGTTCCAGCAGTATCAGGACGCCGCCATGGTCGACATGCTGCTGGAGAAGCTGCCCCAGGTGAGGCCTGGCCCGGGGGGAGGGCCGGATCGGCTCCTGGGGAGACCCTACAATAACAAAGCAGCCTAGCGCAAGCCCTCCCGAGAGTCCCTGCCAAAACAACATCCCCACCCCCCAACCCAGCCCTCACAGAAAGCCTTAGCAACGTGGCTCACCCCCAGCCCTTACGGGAGACCCTACGATCGCAAGCCCCAGCCCGCTTGGCCCCCAGCTCTACAATAACAAATCAGTGAGCACAGCCCCAGCCCATATGGGGGGCCCTGTGATGATAACCCTGCTCAGCCCCCAGCACTTAAGGGAGACCCTACAATAACGGAGCGGCGTGGTGTCCCTCCCGCAGGTGGCGGAGGAGATCAGCAAGCCGCTGAGCGCGGTGAAGAAGATCACCATGGTGTCGAGCGGCAGCCAGGGCATGGGCGCTGCCAAGGTGACAGGGGAGGTGCTGGACATCATGAGCAAACTCCCCGAGACCGTGGAGAAACTCACCGGCATCAGCATCTCCCAGGTACCGGCGCCAGGACGCCTGGGTTCTTTCCCAGGGGAGGGGAGTGGGGGCTAGTGGTTAGAGCGGGGTCGAGGCTGGGAGCCAGGACTCCTGTGTTCTCTCCCTGGCTCTGGGAAGGGAGTGGGGTCTGGGGGCTAGAGCAGGTTGGGGCTGGGAGCCAGGACTCCTGGGTTCTAGGGGAAGGGAGGGGAGGGCTGGGAGCTAGGACTCCTGGGTTCTCTCCCCGGCTCTGGGAAGGGAGTGGGGTCTGGGGGCTAGAGCAGGGTGGGGCTGGGAGCTAGGACTCCTCGGTTCTCTCCCCGGCTCTGGGGGTTAGAGCGGGGTGGGGCTGGGAGCCAGGACTCCTGGGTTCTAGGGGAAGGGAGGGGAGGGCTGGGAGCTAGGACTCCTGGGTTCTATCCCCAGCTCTGGGAGGGGAGTGGGGTCTGGGGAGGGGCTGGGAGCCAGGACTCCTGGGTTCTCTCCCTGACTCCCTTCCCCCATTGCTAGGGGGTCCAGAGGCGTCCGTGACTGTGTTCTGCGATCAGGGTTCCTGGGAGCGACGTGCTGACCCTGCTCCCCCTGTTGGTTTTGCCTCCTGCCCACAGATGAGTCAGAAGAAGCCGGGGCGAATGTCCTAGTTGCTGGAAGTCGGGGGGCTCTACCCTGAGCTGCGCATGTCCCTGAGCCCCCCCCCACACTTCTCCTTGCTGTGTCTGCATCTCGGGCCCCCCCTCACGCTGGCTGCCCCCCTGAGGGGGCCTGTGTGCGGGCGCCAGCCACCAAGCCCCATGGGTCAATGCCATCTCCCGTGTACCCTCGCCGGCCCCCCAACTTCTCCCCCTCCCCGAAGAGCTGGGGGGGGTGTTTGCTCCTCACACCACCCTAACCTCGCCTGGGCCTTGTATTCCTGGGGGATCAGCCCCCCAGCCGTCTTCTCTTCACATCCAAGATCATCCCGAGGGAGAAGCTCCGTCCCCTCCAGCTCTGGAATGGCGGGTGCCGTGGCTTTATTGTCATTTGGGGGGTGCCACTTTCCAGTCTGATTTCTCAAGCACCGCAGAGTGAGAAACAACCCCTTTACACTACAGGAAAGCTCGGGATTTCTTCTTTTCAATGCCACCAACCTCTTATTTCTACTCCTAATGCGGCCTGAGATATCTCACCTTAAAGCCCCATCGTTTTCAGAAGCCTCTGGCTTCCTTTTCCCTTGCACCAGCCCGGATTTAACGGCTCATCTCTCTCGAGTGGCCAAAACCCCAAATAAAAGGCCGATGCCGGCCGAAAGCCAACAGCCCCAGCTTCGGAACGACGCCCGCCACACGGGTCTGCCTGCTGAAGCCGGGTGGGAGAAGCGAGGCAAGAAGGTAATCGGACTGATGTCAAAGGGCAGAGCGTTCATTTGGCACCGGGCTGGAGCTGTGGGGTTTGGTATTTCACGGCCGCCCGGGGCTGTAAACGCACGAGATGCTCTTCCGTAGCACCAGTCCCGGCCGTGGGTCAGGAAGAGACGGGAGCTAACCCCTTTTTGGGGCGGGGATGGGGCAGAGCACCCAGGATCCAGTTGTCCCAGCGCCTCTGGATGTGGGGTGCAGGTGGGGGGAGGATTTCCCCCTTTCCCTCTCCAACTGCCCACTTTTGCCTCTCCAACTGGTTTTTCACTCCCTCTGTGTGGCCAAAGTAAACTCTTCTGCACCCCCCCCCCCCCGGGAGGGGAAAGGTCCCCTGCCCCATTCTCCATCCCCTTGAGCCAGCCGGCAACCTGTAGAGGGGAAGGGCCCTGTGTCCTTTTCATTGACCCCGTCAGTCCCCTGCCCTGGGGCTGGTGCCCCCTCGAGGGGAAAAGCCCCATATCTGTACACAGCCCCCAGCTGCTATACCCCCCCTCCACCACCAGGGGTTCCCCCTCCCTCATGTTTCCCCCTCCTGCAATGTGCCCCCCCCCCCCCAGACGTTCCCAGGGTTCAGGGCTGCAGGGGGCCTAATCCCTCCTTGCCCTGCCCTGGGGCTGGTGCCCCCTCGAGGGGAAAAGCCCCTCATCTGTACACAGCCCCCACCCATCCCTCCTTGCCCTGCCCTGGGGCTGTGCCAGGGTGGGGGTCCCAGAACCTGGGCCAAGGCCCGTGCTCCCCCCTCCGACCCTCTGTGTGTGCTGGTGCCCCGAATGTGTGGGGCGCATGAAGGTGCCTTCTCTGCCCCCCCGTGTAAGTGAGCCTGTGTATATGTTGCTGAGACCTGTCCCCCCAGCCCATTAAACGCCCTGGCGTGTGAACGGCCCCGTCTCCTGGCGCCTCATTCTCCTGGGGTGGGGGTTCCGGGGTGGGGACAGCTGGAGCGTCAATGGGGCAAGGGAGCTGGGGCAAAGCACAGCGCCCCCCGCCGAGCCCCAGACTGCCGGGGGGAGCGCCCCCCCAGCGCTGCACTGGGGCATTAGGGCCAGCACTGACGTGGGGGGGGGGCCTTCCTGAACCCCTTTCCCCTGCCCCAACTCCACGAGCAGTCACTGGTGCCTGGGTGAAAGCCGGTTGTGGGTTATCCAGATCAACACCCCTGCCTGCCCCCCCCCCCCCCCCTGCAGCTCAGGAGGGGGGGGGGCAGTGTGGTCTGCCAGGAGGGGGCACAATCCAGCTGCTGTTTAAGCTCAAAGAAACCTGGCTGAATTAATTGGGGGGGGGGGGGGGGGGGCGACAGGGAATGTCCACCCCAGCCTCCACCCCCAACCTGCAGCCCCGGGCCCCCGCCAGCGCCCCTCACTCCCAACCCGCAGCCCCCTTGCGTTTAATGTGGGGGGGGGCAGCGTGGTGGAGGAAGCACAGGGAAAGGAAAGGGGGGGGCAGTGTATTTCCCCTTCCGTGCCACAGCTGACATCACCCCCCCCAGGCAATGAGCTCATCCCCTGGCCACGTCCCCTCCAGCACTTCCCTGCCCCACGGCCTGCGGCAGAGCTGGGGGGGGAAGGAGAGCTCAGGGCCGGGCTAGTGGGGTCTCAGGTCATAAGTGAGGGGCACCGGCAGAGCTGGGGGTGGGGTGGGGAGCTCAGGGCTGGGCTAGTGGGGGGCTGCAGGTTGGGAGTGGGGGGCACCAGCAGACCTCAGGCGTTGTGGGGGGGAGGGACCCCAGGGGAGCTGGGGTTGGTGGGATCAGGAATCGAGCAGGGGCTGCGCTTTGGGGAAGTTTTGCTGACAGCTGAAGCCACCATGCTGGGGGGGGGGGGGGCTACTCAGACTGCTGCCATGTCCCCCCCCACAGACACACACACAGAGCCAGGAGACAGTCAGGAAATTTTAAAAAAAAATTGGTTTATTCTTTCGCAGAACGTCGTCTTTTCAATATGAAAAAAGCAGTTTAAAAAAAAAAACGAGAGAGAGATGGAGCGAGCGAGAGGGCAAAAAAAGAAAAGAGACTGAGCTGATGAGACAGAACCAGACAGGCCAGCGCAAGCCCGAGTGGAGGGGGCCCCACTGGGTGGGACCTCCAGCTGCAGTCACCTACCAGCTGGAGCCCACAGCAGTGGGGGGGTCCCCCCTCCCCAACTCTCTTCCCCTTTAATTCCTCCAGGGCTGAGTTGTCTCTAAGGAGCTGCGGGCTGATCCCTGGCGGCAGGACCTTGGGGGCCAGCTGAGCCCCACAGAACATGGAGACAATCTACGTTTACAGCCCCCCCAACTTTGCCTCCAGCAGGACCATCCCCCAACCTGGAGAAGAAATGAGAGCCCCGTGGGCGGAGATTTTCCTTTCTGCTGGGAGAAACTACCCTGGGGGGGAAGAAACACCCTGGCTGTGGCCTGCCCTGACCCTTTTCCCAAAGGCTGCTGAGATGGCAGAGACCAGCTCCGTGACCCATGCGGCTTGTGCCCTTTCATCCCTGGAGAGCCTGGCTCAGTTGACTTATCTAGGGCACCGGGGAGGTAGAGGGTATGGGGGGGTGTCCGCTGATCTGGAGCCAAATTGATACAAGGAAGAGAACCACCTCCCCCCCCCAAAAAAAATCTGTAGGTCAAATCCTCAGCATAGGGGCAGGAACGGAAATGAAAAGGGGAGGGAGGCCCCTGCCTGGAAAAGCAGGGGGCTGATCCCCCAACAGAAAGCATATTGACTAGGGGAAGCCAGAGATGCACCCTTTGAGGGTGTGGGCGGGCCAGGCAGCTCCAGAACTTAGATCCACGCAGCTGGTGGATGGGACCTTCACAGAAATGTGGGGACACGTTGAGCGGGGTGGTACAGAGACAGGTGTTTGGTTTTTTTTTTGGGGGGGGGGGGGTGTTTGTGCCAGGGCTCCAGCATTTCCTACAGCTTTGCAAACATGCTCACGTCCAGCCAGGAGGGAGAAGGAGTTCCTTGATCAAGCAGCTCTCACCACAGTAGCAGACCCATAAATCTAACCCAGGGGTCCTGGAGTCCTCCTTCCACAGCAGGAGGGCAGGACTCCTGGGTTCTATCCCTTCTCCCCTCCAGTAGACTCTCCTCCCCCAAGTCCCACTGCATTCAGCCACGAGCTCATTGTCCCCGAGGAGGAAGGTGCAGCAGGGAAACTTGCTAACGGCAAAAGCAAACTGAATCTCCTTCCCCGAAGTAGGGCCAGATGTTTCCGCAAGGCCTGCTCTGCTTCTGGTATTATTTAGTTGCCTGCAAGGTCTAACCAGTTCAGGGCCACCTCTTCCTACCTTCTGCTCAGTCTAACAAGCAACCAACTAGACTTCCTTGGGTCCAGACCAGCCTCACATCCCCCACCTTCTCCAGTGGCGGGCTCCCACAAACCGATCCATCTTGTTCCTGCTAATCAACTTCACAGCTCCCACCTCCACTGGTTTTGCTAGAAGAGTTTGGCACCTGCCTGACACTACCTACAGGATGGCAGCTACACACGAGAAGCTCCTTCAATAAAGACCAGAGCAGGAAGAAGTCAGCAAAGAGGTCTCTCTCACGACCTGGCTCCAGGTTGCTAGGCCACTGGGCCAAAGAAGGGACAATCTATCAACCCTGCTTTGGGACCTTTAATTTTGCACATCCCTTGGGTTACATTTCAGGTCTTAAGACAACCCAACCAAGCCCTCCGTTATCCCCATGCTCCATCTTCTCCCATCCCTGAAGAACCCCTCAGTGAGACGAGCATGGGCTGAGAAGAATCACCAAAATTTAAACTCCCTCTTTGAGAGAGCAGAGGGGAGATGCCATTGGATGTAGACAGTTACAGAGAAAGGGGATCTGACTTTTATTGGAGACAGAACCTCACAATAAATCAGTGCTGGGGAAGAAGAGAAGACAGCTGAGGGGTGGAGAGTGACAGCGGAAGTGGCATCTCTCGCTCTGATGCCCAAGGTGATGTTTACGTGGGAGATCAGGGAACCAGAGTAAGCTCAGCCCTGGAGGAACCTGGATGGAGAAGACAGTTGAGAAGGGAGAGAGAAAGAAAACTGGAACATGATGCGATGTGGGGTTTTGTTTTAAAAAGAATTAATTTGTGCGGGCGCGATCACGGTGGCGGGTGAAGCTTCAAGCTTCTTCTTCAGCCTCTTCCCCGAAGTCCTCTTCCTCCTCGGCCGTGGCATCCTGGTACTGCTGGTACTCGGACACCAAGTCGTTCATGTTGCTCTCCGCCTCGGTGAACTCCATCTCGTCCATGCCCTCGCCCGTGTACCAGTGGAGGAAAGCCTTGCGGCGGAACATGGCAGTGAACTGCTCCGAGATGCGCTTGAAGAGCTCCTGGATGGCCGTGCTGTTGCCGATGAAAGTGACGGCCATCTTGAGCCCGCGGGGCGGGATGTCGCACACGGCCGTCTTGACGTTGTTGGGGATCCACTCCACGAAGTAGCTGCTGTTCTTGTTCTGCACGTTCAGCATCTGCTCGTCCACCTCCTTCATGGACATGCGGCCGCGGAAGACGGCCGCCACCGTCAGGTAGCGCCCGTGGCGGGGGTCACAGGCCGCCATCATGTTCTTAGCGTCGAAGACCTGCTGGGTCAGCTCCGGCACGGTCAAGGCCCGGTACTGCTGGCTGCCGCGGCTGGTCAAGGGGGCAAAGCCGGGCATGAAGAAGTGGAGGCGTGGGAAGGGCACCATGTTGACGGCCAGTTTGCGGAGGTCGGCGTTGAGCTGCCCGGGGAAACGGAGGCAGGTGGTGACGCCGCTCATGGTGGCCGAGACCAGGTGGTTGAGGTCGCCGTAGGTGGGGGTGGTGAGCTTGAGGGTGCGGAAGCAGATGTCGTACAGGGCCTCGTTGTCGATGCAGTAGGTCTCGTCCGTGTTCTCCACCAGCTGGTGGACGGACAGGGTGGCGTTGTAGGGCTCCACCACCGTGTCCGAGACCTTGGGTGACGGCACCACGCTGAAGGTGTTCATGATGCGGTCGGGGTACTCCTCCCGGATCTTGCTGATCAGCAGCGTGCCCATGCCCGAGCCGGTGCCGCCGCCCAGCGAGTGGGTCAGCTGGAAGCCCTGCAGGCAGTCGCAGCTCTCCGCCTCCTTCCTCACCACGTCCAGCACCGAGTCCACCAGCTCGGCCCCCTCCGTGTAGTGCCCCTTGGCCCAGTTGTTACCAGCTCCGCTCTGGCCTGTAGGGGTGGGGTGGAGGGGAAGAAGCCACAAGCATTGGGCAAAGGCACTGGGGAACCAGCCGCTCCTTGACCAGTCATGCCCCCGAATTACCTCCAATGGAGTCCCCTGGGGGACATGTGCCAATTCCCCCAACGGTCTAAGAGAAGCATCAGGTCCTCAGTTGGGTTAGGCTCACAGATGGGGGAAGATGCCCGGTTACCATGGCATCTAAGTGGCCTCCAATTGTTAGACCAGGGGAACCTAATGCAAGCCACCGCTCTGGGAACGTGGCCATGGCTGAGGGACGCACCCCTAGCTCCAAACAGTGAACTGAAGTCAGCTGGGTCCCTCCCCATGCATGCCCCATGCCCACCAGATCAGACAAGGCCCATCTCAAAGCCATAACACATTGTTGACTCCAAAATTTAGGGGGACTATCTGCAGGCTGCTACTAGGTCCAATCTGGACTTAGTTGAGAAGACGAAGCCTAGAAACTCGAGTTTGAACCAGAGAAGCGACCCCACCCTTGTTGCTACACGAGGGCCAAGATCAGGGGGGTCAACCACTGGGTAATTCTCAGTCACCCACAGCCAACCCCAGGGCCCCAGCAGAGACACCGCACGGAGGGACGATGGGAATCTTACCGAAGACGAAGTTGTCTGGTCGGAAGATCTGGCCGAAGGGACCAGAGCGGACGGAGTCCATGGTGCCCGGTTCCAAATCGACCAAGATGGCGCG